TAAGAGTTTATCCACGGACCCAGTATACTGTTACACAACAGGTGTACTCTTTCTCAACTATTTAACGTTCCAAAACTGACTGTGTTTAACTGGATACTCGCCAAGACGGGCATTTTGACATAATTTTGTATGTATTTGACCGTTTTAGCGCAGTTAGCCACTCATTTTGGTATTTGTGGCTCACAAGCTGTTTGAGACTGAGCACGGCTTGTGCGCTCCACTAATATAGATCAGTGGTGGTGTGCGCGCTTTTGGGGTAAGCGCGAAACCTGAGGGAATTACTAAAATAATGCGCAATACAAGCACTATTTAACCGGAGCGAATGAGACGTGTGTGAGAGAGAGAAGGGGTCATCGGAGAGAAGAGCGTGAGAATGCACAGCTGATGTTATTGCCTGTGCCGCTGGTAACAAAACGGATCATGAGGAAAATCGGCCGATTCCGATCCCTGGCCGATCGATCGGTGCATCTCTAGTTTAGACGTTACTATTACTTTAATATAAAACAAACAAAACAGTCTGCAGTGCATCCTCGTGTATGTGTGAAGCACAGTCACAGAGCACTGAGGGCATTTAGAAACTCAGACAGGATGAGCAAGAGAGCGATGCAGAGGAGAAAAAAGGCAGAGAGGAGGTTAGTGGAGGACAGTGTGTGTGTGTGTGTGTTGCTGACAGCGCTCAAAGAGACTCCAAACACCACACAAGAATCCAGAACGCCCTCAACTGCCCAAGAGATGTGGATTAGCTCTTCCTGATTATCTGCCCTGTCACACTGCCGTCATCCTTCACTCTCTCAAAAGACAAACACAAACACAATGGCGTGATCAGTTTAACTGCGTACAAGAAAACGAGAGAGTGCACAAATCAGACATCCGTGTTGTCATTCAGACCAACAGCACGATTACAGTCATGTGTATTTATGTATATAAATAACCATTTGATACATATTGTATGTAATGAACACATCGAAAATAGCATTTATTTGACCGAAATGTTAAAATGTTTATATGGTTACCAATGAATGGGACGCTACATTTTATTCAAAAGCTGTTGGATATTGACTAAATATCTTCTAATCTATACCTTTTGGCTTTAATAAGATTTCCCCGAAAAACAGGCAAGAATGAATAGGCTGTCCACCGTGATTTCTGTTCTTTCAGACAACAAAGCACTTGAACACGACAAACTCGTAATTACAATTTCAGAAGTGGGAAGTAGGAAGTTTCCGATAGCATGTGAAGGCAGCATTACTGTCATGCGTCTCCAAAAAAAACCATAGTGGCATTCTCAATGAATCACTGTTTTTGAACAAATCAGTTCAGTGGATGATTCACTGACTCCCTTACTTGTTTTAATCTTGGGTGTGTTTGAACGAATCGGTCGAGTAAATGATTCACTGACTCACTCGCTTGTTTCGTTCTTGAATGAATTACTGTTTTCAAACAAATCGGTTCAGTGAATTATTCAGTACCTTACTCATTTGTTTTGTATCTGAATTAATAAGTGGTTTTAAACAAATAGGTTGAGTGAACGATTCACTATCACTCATTTGTTTTTAATTCCTGTATGAATGGATGTTTTTGAATGAATCAGTTGAATCAAGGATTCAATGATCCACTCACTTATTTAATTTTGACTGAATCAGTGTTTTTGAATGAATCAGTTGAGCGAATCACAACTACGGTCACTTACCGCCCTCTACTATCGTAATTATGTAACTTACAGAAATAGTGAAAAATTCACACAAATAATGTGCAAATTGACAGTCTGACAGATTTACAGATTTATATCTACCTTGTATTTTATTGTTATTTTACTATTTTATTGTTTAAATTTCTTCAGTAATGTGTTTGTGATTTTATCATTTTTGTTGTAAAACACATTGGACAACTTGGGTTGCAATAAATGGTGCTATATAAATAAAGTTGCTATTTCTATAATTGTTATTATATTTATTTATTTACATACATACATACATGTTTGACTGCATTATGCATTACCACAATAGGGGTGCATTCGTTTTCAACAATTCAAAAATTCATAAGCTAATTAATAACAGATAAATATAAATGAATAAATACATATGTATATTTATATTCACATACGATATATATAATTTAAATGCATAGGAACAATGTGAAAAACACTCATGAATATTAATTACGAGATGAATATTAATTGTGTGGTGCGACATTCACAGAGTGTTTTCAGTGTTTTGTTTTACTCCTAAGAAAAAACACAACTAATTATGTAACATTGATGCCTTATACGGCAAATAAATGTAAGTTGTTTGGTTTTGTTTGACGTGTCATTACTGCTCTTTTGTTGTTGTGGCTGTGAGGGTGAGTCTCTCAGCTGTCAGAGGGCAGTTTCACACAGCGACGGTCTCAGCAAAAACGACATATTAGGGCCACTGCAGCTTCGCTCAGAGCATCTGTTTTCATTCTCTCCTTCTTCACAAGAGGAGGAAAGGGGATCTTGTCTTTGTGATGAATTGCGGTGGGAATTACAGCGGTAAAAACACTCGTCTCTTTCATCCGTTGTTCTCTCCTCTCGGCACGTCAGCTCTAATTGGGGCGGTGACGGAGGCGAGTCGCCATCCACAGCCCAGTTTCCTTTCCAGTGTTTCATTGACAAAGGACATATCTGCAGCCGCAAGCCACCCTGGTTGAAAATGCACCATCCGTCCCCAAAGACTTTGATACCTGTCCTGCAGCCATACTGGCCCAATCGTAGCTGTACATCCCAGCTGGCTTTCATTGTCGCCCGACGGCCATTTTGGCTCAGACATGACGAAGTGCTCCCTAAAATGCTGGAAAAACAGCTCACGTTAACGTTGGCTCAGCTGGTGCCGTTCATTTGCAAAGGAGCGCAGATGAAACTGCTTTGGCCCTCAGCATTACAATTTGTCTCATTTTTGCTCTAAAAACAAACTCTCACTCAACCAGCTTCCTCTCCCTCAGGTCAGATCCTTCACACTAGACCAGAGTCTGTCTGTTCGGTTGTTGTGAAAGCTGTTGGATTCAGTTTGCATGACATGCAATTCATCTATGAGACAATAATGCATTTTTCATTGCTTTCTCTTGCCATTTGAGCTTGTTTGCTTTTGATGGTAAAACCAATGTGACAAAAAAACTAAAGTGAAGCACTTTCCAATGTTGGTATTTTCTAACTACGAGTCTTTGCTACAGCGAACCCTGGTTTGAATCAAACAATCAAGTATAAAAACTGCAGACGAGAGAGAATATATGTGTACACTAGCAAAATCGACCTATTTCCTTCCCTAATTCATGATCCTGATCTTACTGTGAACGATTATTTCGTTCACATTATTCCAAAGGACAAATGAGTGTTTGTCTAAGCAATATTTCATCAATATAATAATGATTTTACTTTTCAGCTGACCTCACCCACTACTTCTCACAAATGGAGACACATTTTTCACCACACAATCAATTCCTTGTGGACAAAATCGGATGCTGTCCAACATTTTTACATTTTACATTTCAATAGGATGCAAGCCACATTATAAAAGTAAAATGGGTTGTGAACATGTTGATTTTAACCATATAAAGCTGAATGTACAGTACATGTATGTCTAAGGCCTCTAAATGTTCAACACGGTCAAAACTTTCTTTTGATCACAATCTACTACATGCCTTCTGTCAAATCTTTACTGATTTTTATAAAGTAAATATAACAATAACTTTGATATTTCATGAACACTTACTGGACTGAAGCAGCTTAGCTTGATTATCCAGTTTGAGTCTCTAAATAAAACTAGGCTGGGGTTTTTTCTCTCCATATTCTCACTGTATCAGACTATATGAACCATAAAGGCCTGATGGATCAAATATGACACTCAATAAAAAACACATTCAAACTTATAAACTCTTCCTTTTAGAAAAATGTAATTTTTCTGACTATTATTTCACGTCATCATTCAGTCACTACACAATCTCAATGTGAATCTCTTTAGTAATGAATGAAATGCTGTTAGAGCCGTCAGGATGGTCAGAAAACCCAAGGTCCGTTCACTCACTGACTCCAGCTGTTTGCCTCCCCGTGGCTTAATTAGATGAAGTGCCAGAGGCCACTCCGGCTCCTCGGCTCAGCGTGACAGTGCAGATTCAGCCATTGCGGCTCAAACCTCGCATGACACACACAGGCTGTCAGACGCTACAGCTGCCCGCTGGACATGAGGGTCAGACAACTCGGACAGGCTCGTTTTAATTCAAATCCCACTTATTCTCGCTCCTTCTTTCTCTCAGAGGAATGCGGGTCAAGTATCTAATCACAGCGACGCAGAGCCACGTCAGGTGGGACTGTAAACTCTGACCCCCCCCCCCCCCCCCCCCCCGTATGAAACACAGGAGAGAGACTGTGAGGGCACAGGGTCAAAGGTCACGCTATCATGTTTGGGCTCTTCTACTGAATCTGGAACCTGGCTCATTACTGTCTTTTTATTTATTTTTTTATATTATATATGCGCTATAATATTTATGAGAACTAATAATATTTATTGAGTGGATTTTTGACTACTGGTCAAAGAAATTATAATTTTTATTCAGCAAAGACACGTAAAATTGATCCACACTGACAGTAAATACATACAAAAGATTTATATTTCAAATAAATATCTTTTGAACTTTCTATTCATCAAAGAATCCTTAAAAAATTTAATTAATCGCGGTTTCCACAAAAATATGAAACAGCACAACTGTTTTCAAAATTGATAATAATCAGAAATGCTTCTTGAGCAGCAAATCAGCATATTGATTTCTGAAGGATCATGAGACACTAATGATGCTGAAAATTCAGCTTTGAGCACGGGAAATAAATTACATTGTAATTTATATTACAATAGAAAACAGCTATTTGAAATTGTAGTAAGGTTTCACAATTTTGATGTATTTTACGGTTTTACTCTATAAATTCATACTGACACTAAACGTTTTGAATGACAGACAGACAGACAGATAAATAGATTGATGTTCACTCACCATCAGCAGTTCTGCTCTTGGTCTGTGAGTGTGATTTAGGTTTCAATTCTGATTGTGGGTTCGACTCGCTGTCTGTAAGAAACAAATATTACCCCCTGTCACACATAGAATCAGGCATAAATACTCTTCATTTTTCTGCAACGACAGTTACAGTCAGTCGACCGTATTTCACAGCATTGTGTGCTTTGTTAATAATATATGATAACTGAAGTCCAATTCATAATAAATATTATTCATATCATATAGTCACACTGTTAGGTGAACATGTTCCTCTGATCAAAAGAATCGAAAACAACAGTAAGGAGTCAATTCCAGAATCAGCAATCAGAATCGTTTCACAAAACTGAGGAATCGAACTGCCCTAAATAAGCTGCTCTTCACATTCGTTTTATAGCTGTACCATATCTTCTGACTAATTGATGTCTAGAAATGTTATGAGAAGTATCTGAGACATCTGAGATATGTATGTAATAATACATAATAATAATTAATGTATCTTGATATGTAAACAAAGCCTGACAGAGAACTCCAAGTCTTGTGGGAATTGAAAGACCAAAGGCCAATGAAAGAGCAAAGTCGAGCAGTGCCCAATAGAAAATCTACACAAACATCTGTTTTTGCATTGCATTTAATAATAAACCTGATTTGCAGCAGACGTGTCAGTGCTAAACAGAATGAAATTGTGAATCAAAATACGTGTGCCGCATTATTACACCAGTGCAGGTTTGTGAAAAAGACACATGTTCTTGAAATGCCATGTGCTTAGTGAATTCAGCCTGAACCTCTTTTTCAGTTTTATTTATGACAAAGAAAGTTTTTTTGTGCTGCCTGACACGCTCTCAGTCTCTCTCTCTGACTTTGTCACAGGGGAATAAAACGCCAAATCAATTCACAGCCAGTGTGAGTGTGTGTGCGCTGTTTCTCTATTCATTGTGGGAACAATGTTTTTTTTTTCATTCTTTGAACATTTCTTTCATTTTTATCCTTTTCCTTCATTCTTTCTGTCCATCTTTGTGAACACAGGGTCAAACAGAGAACAAATATAACTAGCCACTAAGAGAAACACCACCAAAATAAAACCTCAAACCAATTTCCTGCATATTTGCTCTCTGATCTTCCCCTGAGGCAGTGTGTGCATGTGTGTGTCTTTTTAACAGTGAGACAGCTCAAATGAGAATCACTGTTTGCGTACAGCCTGAGGACAGACAAATCACAAATGTGATCTCTTTAAAATCTCAATTGTCTCTACTAGAAAGGAGAGATTAAAGAGAGTTTTACATACGTCTCAGATGTTTCTCCAGACCTCAGTAATCTCACATGCGTCTCCAAAAGGAGATCTTAAAGTCTCTAACTGTGTTCAGTTTTATTAAATAACCAAAGTCTGCAATCATAATTGCATTTAATCAGTTGGAATCGATTCTATCAAAAGGGAATCAATTTCTCTTTAATATACTGTTTTAGTTCAATTAAACTAATTATGAATTTGTCTCTTAGTCACTCGATAATAGTGATGGGCAGTTCATTTTAGACGTTCTAGTTTGTTTCAATGAATCGGTTAAAAACAATTATTTTACATTGTCACATACAGTGGTGTGAAAAAGTGTTGGCCCCCTTCCTGATTTCTTATTTTTTTGCAAGTTTGTCACACTTTAATGTTTCAGATCATCAAACAAATTTAAATATTAGTCAAAGATAACACAAGTAAACACAACATGCAGTTTTTAAATTAAGGTTTTTATTATTAAGGGAAAACAAAATCCAAAACTACATGGCCCTGTGTGAAGAAGAAAAAAAGAAATCAGGAAGGGGGCCAACACTTTTTCACACCACTGTACATATTTCTAACAATTTAGTGTCATGGTATGTCACACTGTAACATTCAAATAAAGCCATATATGTAATCGCATATAGATAGTGAATTGGTGGGTTTTTGTTAAATGTCAGCCAAATTCATCACAATTAAAAGAACCAAAGACTTAAACTACTTCAGTCTGTGTGCATTGAATTTATTTAATACACGAGTTTCACAATTTGAGTTGAATTACTGAAATAAATGAACTTTTCCACGACATTCTAATTTATTGAGATGCACCTGTAGGTGTTCTTTCTCTCTCACACACGCACAAAATTCAAAAATTCTGAAAAACAAAACTAAACAAATAAATAAATAAATTGATAATAATAATAATAATAATAATAAATGACAAAAATGCACAGTAAACGTATTAAAACTTAAAAAATTTTAATGACAAAAACTATTCCAAAATATTAATAAAAACTATAATAGTATCTCAATGATACTAAAATAACACTACAAGTACAAAACTGCACTGCATTATTTAACATAATTAAAACTACTTTAAACTACTACTTTAAAACTATTTAAAATTGTTGCTGGCTTGATTTAAAAAGGCAAGCAAAATAAATGAAAATCTAGATAAACAAACCGTCCCATCCCTGGTGTGTGTTTGAGATTTTACTTTCATGTTGTTAATCAGCATTCACTAGAGAGTTTGTCAAGTAAACACAAAAACACAGTGTTTGAATATGAATTCCTCATTACAGCAATCACTAAAGCAAAAGCCAGACTTCACGTCAACAGATATGATGGATGTTTGCATGAAAAGCTGTTAGGACGCAGCTCTCATCTTCAGACAGTCAGACTAAAGAAAACGCAGGACTGCAACTGAGACCCGCTGAAATTATCCATTCAATCAAACCACAGACCTTCTATCAAATTCACCATCCAAACAGCAACTGCAGTCTGACCTGAGCAAAACTACAGCACCACAGCCACAATAAACACTTCACCTGTCTGAGTACAGTTATTATTACGGTTTATCATTAGTTTTGGATCCAGAACCGGACCGGATAAGCCACATTCTTCTTTATTTGGCAACTGCAAAAACAGATGGAAGAATGATGGAAGAACTATTTACGATGATTATATAATTATTATATGATGATATCAATAAATCATTTATTCAATATTGGTGTCTGTGTGTGTGTGTGTACAGAACTCCATGCTGTAAAAATTATACAGTATAGCAAATTTATCTTTGTACATAAATAATGTGGTAGTCTACATTTTGTCATTTATTTCCATGTCCTTGCTAAATTTTGTGGTTTGAATTAGTATTTTCATTTTCGTATTTTTTTATATATTAATTGTAGTTTCATTTTAAATTTAGTGTTGTGTTGTATTTTTTTTTATTTTTTTTAGATTTTCTTTATTTTAGATTTTTGTCTGTAAATTTATTATTATAAATTATTATTATTATTTAGATTTAGCTGTTTTAGCATATCAAAGTAAACTGAAAAAATAAGAAATGTTGCCTTATTGTCACAAATCCGGTCTATGAACTTCCGTTCACTCACCACCAGAGGTCACCCGCTCACCACATGGACTCTCACACTACACAGACTGTTACTCTATACCCTGTACTACATTTCCCATCATCCATTGCACTGATTACACCCACAGCTGTAACCAATCACACACCCTACATAAGCCATGGACTTCCTCTCTCTCACTGCCGAGTATTCTATAGTGTTTATCACTCGCCTAGCGATAGCTACTCTACGGAGCCAGTTTTTAATTTTCATAGTCTAGTCATAGTCTTGCCTTGCCTGTTTTCTCGTATTCTGATTCTTGCCTGTGTTTCTTGGATTAGCCCTTGTCTCGCCGTTCGGACTCTGTTTGTACATCGCCTGCACTATTGCTCGTGTTTCTGGATTACCACTCTTGTCAAGCCCTCTGGATAACGTTCGCTGTCGACTGACTCACGCCTGTTTTGGATTGCTCTTGTCTCGTCTGTGCCATACCTGTTTGCTGATGTTTTGACCCTGCCTGCTTCTGACCATGTCTCTGAATAAAGCTATGCGTATGGATCCACACGTCTCGCATCCCTGTCGCCTCGTTACACTTGGACATATTAACATGGGCATTTTCATGTATTTAATACAATGAATTAAATATAAATTAAATACAAATCAGCTGGCATTACAAACACTGATTATTAATATCAACTAATGTTTCTGGAAATACTCCATATTTTGGGTATTAAAACAGAAGTTACATTCATTGATCTGGATTTAAAACATTTTAATTCTACTTCCTTAAATTCAAATTTGTGTTATAATATTAAAATCATAAGGCCCGGGGGTCTCATTTATAAAACTCTCCATAGATTTGATCCTAAAAGTGTACGCACAATAGTTTTCAGATTTATAAAACCATGCGTATGCCAGAACCTGCGCAAAAATCCCTTTATAAATACCAGTCGGGGAAGATTGTGCGTACATGCATCTCCACCCCGTCTCCTCCCTGAAATCACCATATATGGAGCTTACAATGTCTAGTTTTATTTATTTAGTCATTTAGCAGATGCTTTTATCCAAAGCGACTTACAAATGAGGACAATAAAAGCAGTCAAAACTAACAAAAGAGCAACAATATATAAGTGCAAATGACAAGTCTCGGTTAGCCTAACGCAGTACACGTAGCAAGGTGTATATATATATTGCAGCCCCAGACCATGACACTCCCACCACCAAGCTTGACTGTAGGCAAGACACACTTGTCTTTGTACTCCTCACCTGGTTGCCGCCACACACGCTTGACACCATCTGAACCAAATAAGTTTATCTTGGTCTCATCAGACCACAGGACATGGTTCCAGTAATCCATGTCCTTAGTCTGCTTGTCTTCAGCAAACTGTTTGCGGGCTTTCTTGTGCATCATCTTTAGAAGAGGCTTCCTTCTGGGACGACAGCCATGCAGACCAATTTGATGCAGTGTGCGGCGTATGGTCTGAGCACTGACAGGCTGACCCCCCACCCCTTCAACCTCTGCAGCAATGCTGGCAGCACTCATATGCACAATTGGTGGCTGACTAAATACTTTTTTGCCCCACTGTATATATATATACACATACACACATACATACATATATTATACACACACACACACACATATACACACACACACACAAAGAAGATAAATATAGATAAAGTAGAATTAAAATAGAATAGAAAGTGCTAGAGTTAGAGGATCAAATAAAGGTGATAAAAGTAATTTTACTATGCATAACCTCATCTGCATAGCATTTCCATGCATATTCCCATTCACGTGACACCATGTTTAACACAGTCAAAGGTACAAGACATTAAAGGGGTCATATGATGCGATTTCAAGTTTTCCTTTCTCTTTGGAGTGTTACAAGCTGATTGTGCATAGATAAGATCCCTGAAGTTGCAAAGACTAAAGTCTCAA